TTGGGGGGAGGGTTGTCGAAGTCGTAGTGGGTCTGGTTGTACTTGTTCCACTCGAAGCCGGTGTGCACGCGGTTGAAGAAGCGGGGCTTGCGGGGCCGGTACTTGTCAGCCCACAGGTAGGCCTTGCCCGTGAGCGGCATCTCCACGCTGAACTGCGCCTCGTCCGCGCCCATGCCCTCCTTGGCCTTGCGGAAGAAGATGTCGTCGGTGCTCTCGGAAGCGTCACCTGTAGGGGAGGAGAGGTGACATCAGGTTCTGCAGTGCCAGCCAGGCCCGGGCTGTGAGACGCTGCTCCAAGGCATGCAGAGAGAAGGAGATGCTATGCAGAGGATGCAGAACTGGATACAGGAATGCACGGGCTGCCCTGCAGGCTCTGCGTGGGCACTCAGCTGAGTTGTGCTGGAAAACTCAACCAAAGCGCTCCTCCTGCCTGTCTGCACCCAAACACCTTGGTGGTAGCGAGGCAAGTCCCTTAGTGAGCACTAGCAGCCTGAACCCCATCTCCAGGCTCCTGCCCAGGCCACAGCGCCCTTTGCTCCAGGAGCACCCCCTGCCAGGTCAGCTCTGGGTGCCTGACCCAGATGAAGCTCTTGCCCTTTCCTGAGGGCAGTGTCCCCTCCAGTCCTGCACCCCAAATCTCTGCATGTCCCCCGTGCTGGGCAGGCTGCAAAGGTGGCGGGTGCAGGGCCTGCCCTGGGGCTCACCTGTCACCTGGAGCTGCTGGCGCAGCAGCAGCAGCCGGTGCGTGTCCTCCTCGGCCTCCAGCACGTGGGCGTCGAAGGGCAGCTCGTTGGGGCCCAGCAGCCGGGGGCTGTACTTGCCCGCGTCGTAGTCATCCAGGCTCTGCTGGATCAGATCCTCCTCCATCAGCACAGCCTCCCCCTCTGCCTCTCCTTTGGCCTCTGTGTCCTGCTCTGCCTCTGGCTCTGAGGATGGCCCTGGCTGTGCCTCAAGGCTCTCCTCGGGATCCAGCCTGCACGGAAGGGAGAAGAGAGGACTGGGACGGGGATGGTACCCTCGCTGGCTGCTCACCTGAGCTCTGCTAGGGAAGGGTGAGGGCACAGGACTGCCTTTGTGCCCGGGGACAGGCCCAGGAGTTTGCTCACCTGTCACTGGGGGAAGCCGGCTCCCGCTTGATGATGGGGAAGAGCGGTTCGCTCTCCACACCCTGCTCCTGCTTCAGCTTGTACAACTTCTGACGCAGCACGTCCTGGTGCCGCTCCCGCAGCCTGAGGAGGAGAGGAGCTGTTGGGTCCCAGCCAGCAGAACCACCTCACTCTCACTGCCCAAAGCTTTGACACCCACCTCCATGGGCAGAAACCTGCTGGGCTTGGATTGCTTTGGGCTGAAAAAGCCCCAGTTCAGTTCTCTCTTGGAGACCTCACTAAACATCACCACTGCATTAGGGACTGGATGTCCCACCCTGCTCCTCTCTTGGAAATGAGCCATCTCAGAGAAGGTAGAATACCCTTCCCCATTCTCCCCTCCAAGTGGGTTTATGCCTCCCCAGCTCTGCCCACGGCAGTCTCTGCTCTCACCTGGCCCGAGCCATGTAAGCCTTCAGCTGCTGCAGGAGGCTCTCCCAGTACCCGATGTCCAGGTTGGGCCCTCCTGCCCGGATCTTGCTCTCAATGCCCTGGTACAGGGCTTGCAGCTGGTTGTATGTCTTCCCCTTGAACACGGACTGCACGTCTGAGCTGACCGAGGCGTTGACGCCATCTCGACGCTCCCCTGGACAGGTGAGGGCAGCTGGTTGGGCTCTCAGCTGTGCTCACCCCGGTTCTCTGACAGGAGCCAGCACACCCCTCCAGGGACAGCTCCACTGCCACCATCAGGCAGGTCCAAGAGAGCCCCTCTGAGCCTGAGCACACACAGGGCCCTATAGGACCCACCCCTCACAGTCCCCAACACCCACACCAGGCTCTGCTCTCCTGCTCACCTGGTCCTCCTTTCCCAGAGGCCTCCAGCTTGCGCAGCTTGGCGATCTCATCCTCCGTGATGATGGTCATGTCCCTCCAGAAGTCCACGTTCTTGCCTTGCTCCAGCTCCATGTACACCTGCAGGCAGAAGACACATCAGGCACCTGCTCCACACCAGGGACGGGAGAGCAGAGCTGGGAGAGAGCTCTGGGCCCAGGCAGAAGGGCAGCAGAGCAGGCACCTGGATGTCCTCCACCAGGTCCTCCATGTCAGACACGGTCAAGCCGTTGAGGAAGGTGTAGGGCTCGTGCATCTCCACAGCCAGGTCATCGTCCTCTGCGCTGATGTACTTGGCCAGAAGATCAATGGGCTTTGCCCTCCCATCCCGAATGCGGATCTTGGACCTGGCACAGGAGCAGAGGGACAGTGGGGGACACTGAGCAGTGCCATCCTCTGCTCCCTGCCAGGCCTGGCTCTGAGCGGGTGCACACCTACCGCAGCTTGGCCTGCTGCAAGTGGAAGTTGTCCTCCTGCTCTTCCCAGGTTTTGAAGTGCTCAGCCTCCTTCTCCCGCTGCAGCATCTCCAGCTCCTGCTCCCGCATGGCTTTTTCCCGCTCCCGCTCCAGGCGCAGCTGCTTCACCTGCCCAGGGTGACAGAGCTGTGAGGCCGCTGCTCGAGGACACAGCCGTGACATGAGCCGTCCCTGAGCTGCCTTGGCTCCTGCCAGCCCTGGGGGAGACAGGGGACACAGGCACAGCTGAGTGCCTCAGTGCCATGACCTGGCATTGTCTCCCTCAGCACCTCCTGAGCTCCTGGGCTCAAACCTAAGGCAACAAGTTTCTCATCCTGGAACAGCAGGAGCCAGGGTTCTATGACCCCCACAATCCTACAGACTAGACACACCCAGGAGAAGAAAATGGGGACTTCCCAGTGAGAACCAGGCTGTGAACAGGGCTCTCAGTGACATGGAAAAGGACATCTTATCCAACCTTCTGCAGCTCCAGACGATTGTCCTCCTGGATTCGCTTGTTCCTCTCCTTCAGGTCCTTCTCATCCAGATGGCTGATCCCTTTCTTTTCCAGTGCCTTAAACAGAATAACCGAGGGAAGCTGTGAAAGGAGCCAAGGACCTCCACAGCCCCTCACTGGCCAGCAACTGCTACTCCCTTCACCCATTTCTGCTGCTCGAGTGAGGTCTGATCCTGTTGAAAGTCTCTAAATCACTCAAACACTGCTCCTGAAACCCCTCAGCAAACCCAGGCTCAGCCCATATAGCCCCCCTGGCCTGGTGAGGTGAGTGCCAGCACAACAGCATCACTGTGTCATGAGGGAAGGGACCTTAAAGGTCATCTTGTTCTACCTCCTGCCATGACAGGGACACTTTCCATTGTCTCAAGCTGCTCCAAGCCCTGTCTAGCCTGGCCTTGGGCACTGCCAGGGATCCAGGGTGGGCACCCTGTGCCAGGGCCTGCCCACCCTCCCAGGGAACAATTCCTGCCCAATCTCCCATCCAGCTCTGCCCTCTGGCAGTGGGAGCCATTCCCTGTGTCCTGTCCCTCCAGGTCCTTGTCAAGTTCTTCTCCAGCTCTCCTGGAGCCTTTGTAACCACTGGAAGGAGCTCTAAGGTCTCCCCAGAGCCTCCTCTTCTCCGTAACCCTGAGCAGCCCCAGCTCTCTGCCATTCCTACAGCAGAAGTGCAGCATTCCCGTGACCACAGTCATGTCCCTGACCCAATAAATGTCACCCAGCACTCAGCCTGCAGCTCCCAGACCCTCTCCTGCCCTTGACCCATCTTATCTCACCACCCTGGATACAGACCCCACTGAGGCACAGATCCCCCTGCCTCCCCCTGCCTGCAGGGCCAGGGCAGAGCTCACCTTGCTCCAGATGAACGTCCCCAGCAGGTTGTTGTCCCCGAAGGGATTGTCCGTGTTGGTGTAGCCCATGTACTCCTCACCCCAGCCCATCTTCTCCCGCTTCTTTCTCTCCTTGGCCTCCTTTTTGGCCAGCCTCCGTGCCCGCTTCTCCTCGGGCGTTTCCAGGGCCTTCATCAGAGCCGCCTGTTTCTTCTTCTCCTCCCTCAGCCTCAGCCGCTCCTGCAGGCTCAGCTGCTGCCCCGGCTGCTCCCGGGGCCGCGGCGGGGAGGGGGAGCTGACGGAGGACACGGAGGACTTGGATCCATCTCTCCTGCGGCGCCGCTCCCGGCTCCGCGCCGCCCTGTCCCGCCCGCGCTCCGGGCTGGAGCCGGAGGAGCGGCCCCGGGACCGAGAGCGCTGTTTCCTCCGGTCCTTACGGTGCCGGTCGCGGCTGCGGCTTCTTTTCTTCTTTTTCCATTTCTGTCTCTCATCGCCGGAGTCCGAGCTGGGGGGGCACAGCGGCCTTCAGCGGGAGGAGGGCACGGAGCGTCCCCCGCCACCGGCAGCGCCGGGACAGCGAGGGGCACCCGCAGCCCGGCCCTGCCCGCCCCGGGTCCCTCCCGATACCGGCCGGCCCGAGCCGCCCCTCACGGCCTTCACCGGGCCCGGCGGTCGGGAGGGGCCCCGCTGCCCCGGCCCCGCTGCCCCGGCCCCACAGCCGCTCGGGGCCGGGTGCGCACTCACCCCGAGCTCGGCTCCCGGCGTCGGCCCCGGCTCCGGCTGCGGTGTCGTCGCCCGTGGCTCCCAGAGCGCGAGCGCCCGCGGTCCCGCTCCCGGTCCCGTTCCTTTTCCCGGTCCCGCTCCTTGTCCCGGTCCCGCTCCTTGTCCCGGTCCCGTTCCCGGTCCCGCTCGGAGCGGCCGGCCCGGCCCGGGCTGCGCGGCCCGGAGCCCATCGGCAGCGGCGGCTCCGCCCCGGGGCCTCGCGGGGCCTCAGCTCACCGGGCTGCCCCGCCGCCCGCCTGCGCCCGCCCCGCCCCAGCAGCGGCCCCGGAGCACACAGGCGGGCGGCGGGCAGCCCCGCGCCGGGGGCGGGGCTTGTACCGATCCCCGCCCGGGCCGAGAGACCGGGACAGAACCGGGCTGGGAACGGTGCACCGGGACAGAACCGGGCTGGGAACGGTGCACCGGGACAGAACCGGGCTGGGAACGGTGCACCGGATCCGATATGTGCTGTGTGCCCGGGACAGAACCGGGCTGGGAACGGTGCACCGGAGCGGTACAGAGCTGTGTGCTGTGTGCCCGGGACAGAACAGGGCTGGGAACGGTGCACCGGGACGGTACAGAGCTGTGTGCCCGGGACAGAGCGGGGCTGGGAACGGTGCACCGGATCCGATATGAGCTGTGTGCCCGGGACAGAGCGGGGCTGGGAACGGTGCACCGGGACAGAACCGGGCTGGGAACGGTGCACCGGGTCCGATATGAGCTGTGTGCCCGGGACAGAACCGGGCTGGGAACGGTGCACCGGGACAGAGCGGGGCTGGGAACGCAGCACCGGGACAGAGCGGGGCTGGGAACGGTGCACCGGATCCGATATGTGCTGTGTGCCCGGGACAGAGCGGGGCTGGGAACGGTGCACCGGGGCGGTACAGAGCTGTGTGCCCGGGACAGAGCGGGGCTGGGAACGGTGCACCGGAGCGGTACAGAGCTGTGTGCCCGGGACAGAACCAGGCTGGGAACGGTGCACCGGAGCGGTACAGAGCTGTGTGCCCGGGACAGAACCGGGCTGGGAACGGTGCACCGGATCCGATATGAGCTGTGTGCTGTGTGCCCGGGACAGAGCGGGGCTGGGAACGGTGCACCGGAGCGGTACAGAGCTCTGGCAAAGGGGCTCCCCGGAGGAGAAAGGGAAAAACCCTCCAAACCACCGAGGACAGAAAAACAGCGCCCAGGCCTGGAGCCCCCGGAGCACAGACGGGATCACACCCCAACATCGGCGTCCCCGTCCGGCCGCGCCCCCTCCGCGGCCTTTCGGCACACGGACACGCGTGGGAACAGCGACATCCGCGGGGACAGCCACGGGTGGGAACAGGGACAGCCCCCGGACAGACTTGGGAACAGGGACAGCCACCGGGACAGACTTGGCGCAGGTTGGCATGGCCAGAGAACCCCTCAGCATGACCCCAGACCCGCCTCAGCCCTGGCTGGGAACGAGAAGGGGAACGCAGGGGCGATGGAGCAGTGGCTGGAACGAGAAGGGGAACGCAGGGGCGATGGAGCCCCGCAAACGCCTCTCCTGCCTCGGACCAAGGCTGTGAGTGCTCTGGCTTCGCTGAAAAACTCCCCAACGTGCAATTCCAGGGCACATGGCTGCAGAGACAGCGGCAACCAAAAGCTGCATCCTCTCTGCGTGTGTTGAGGGTCTCTAGGAGCTCCTGGGTTTGCCCCAGAGCCTTTACAGGAGATCCCATTTTCTCCTGTCAGCCTCATACCTGTCAGGGAGAGCTCACCTGCAATGGGCAGGGCAATGGTCACAGAGTGAGATCCCAGCTGGGACCTTGGGGATGAAGGACAGTGCTGGCACAGACCTGTGTGGGAAGGGGTCAGATCTCAGTGTACAGACTCCTGGTGCCTCCGTTAATGGTGGAGAGCATGGACAGCACCTGCTGGGTCACTAAAGGGAGCCCAGCAGAGAACAACAGCACAAGTCCAGAATGAGCTGAAGTGCAGCTGGAGGCACACTAGGAGCAAGGATGCTCTTTCCCATGGGCAAGTGCTGTTCCTGCCTTTCAGCCTCTGTGGGAAGCAGCTTCCCCGGCACTGGAATTGCTGGGACAGGAGGTGACACACCAGCCTGAACAGGGGCAGTTTCCTTTAGATCAACATCTACCTACAGGAACTCCTTGTCCCCTTGACAAAGCTGTTCTAAGCCTTTGCCTCTGCTCTTACAGGACCACCCCAGCCCATCCAGACCTGCTCCAAAGGGTCAAGCATTTCAGAACTACACAAGGATCATAGACAATTCTTTGAATAGAATGAACATGCTGCAGGAGCTCTGGGTTCAGCCCCTCTCTTGGGACCCAAGCACAGCTCCAGCTCACAAAGCTCATTCTCTGGGACACGCCCTGCACACACACACCAAGCAGCTTTAAAGACCCCCTAGAAATGAGGGAAAGGAATAAAATCTCCATCAATGATGCCTGAACCACCTCAAAAAAGGTTTGATTTCAGGTGGCTGGAAAGTCCTGATGAGGCCAAACCCTCTAGCCCCTGACTGAGGTGGTCCCAGGGCAGGGGCCTGGGTCAGAACAGCTCCAGCCCACCCTGGTTCCCCCCAGAGCCCCCTCAACCAGCACAGCACCCAACAGCAGCAGCTGCAGCAGCAGGCATGTGCCTTCCTCTGGCCATTCTACACACATTGCTAGAGGAAAAAGCGGTTGAATTTCAGCTTTTTGACGCTCCTTGCCTTGAGCCCAAAGGCAGGTGAGGCTGTAGGCGTTGCATGGCTCCCATTCCCCTCCACCAACCCCTGAGCCCCCCCAGCCTGCAGAGCCCCCCGGGTGGTACAGGAAGGTGGGATGGGACAGGAGCTGCAGCTGGGAGAACGAGCTGCCAAGCAGCAACAGAAAGGGGAGAGTTTCTGGAGAGACTTTTGATAGACTATTTGGTAAATACATGGATACATGAACAGCAGCAACTTGCACAATCCCCAGACTGTGCTCCCAAGAAGCACAACTCACAGCCTTTTTCATCTACAGGCAGGGAAGGGAAGTCCAGGTCCTGTATTCTGGGCAAGAAAAAAACATCAATTCCTGAAGATTCTCACTAAGTTCAGTACAGTACAAAAGCAAGAGCTTCCCATCAGCCCAGCTACCTTCTGGGACATTAACTGCTCCTGAGTGCTGCTGTGAAGAGATTCTGGGGACTGGGGACTGAGGCCTGAGAGCAGGGTCCCGCTTCCCCACCCTTCTACCTGGAATCCCAAGGACACTGAAGATTGTAAAGGGAATAAAGAGACTCTTTCTCAAGCGAGGTTCATAAAGCACACGAACAAGACCTGTCTCCCTCTGGTCTAAAGGATTTCCTGTTTTCTGTCTGGGAGATGGAAACAGGATTGCTGGATTCCAGACTATGCTATGATATGTGTCCTGCTGATGGATGAGCCTGAACACTACCCCGTGACATCAAATTCTCTCACCTATAGCCCACAGCCCTTGCAGAGCAAACCCTCTCAGACACCGGCAGCAGGGATTTCCAGCAGCAGACCCCAGGCAACAACCAGTCACCCAGCGTTCTGTCCAAGAGTCCATGAGCACAGCAGTGCTGGCACAATTCCATGGCAGAGCCAGGCTCCCATTCCTGCCTCCAGTGAGCGGACGTGCCCTCGTGTCCCTGCCTGCCCTGAGGGCGGAGGGGATGTGTGAACCCAGTGTCCGTGACCCCAGGGTACACCCAGAAGCACGTGAGGGGCTGAGTGGCTCCACGAGGACGCAGGGTCTGGACAAGCCCCACGGGGCTGGGCAGAGTGGGGAACTTGCCCTCCAACGTGGCCAGGCTTGGGAGGTGCCCAGTTCCCTTCTGTCCGTGCCTGCGGGGCTGCAGCAGGCGGTGGCCAGTTGGATGAGGTGTGGACTCCAAGCACAGAGGGAAGGGAGGCGCAGCAGTGCAGCACAGGGTGAAGGTGGAACCCATCACGACTTCGAGGAGAGCTGAGGAGTCCACGTCGCTGGCACCAGGAGCTGTGTGCACTGTGTGCTGTCCCGCACAGTGTCACAGACAGGAGAAGTCACTAGAGAGTTTGGATCCAAGTGAATTGGCATGGCTACTTTGGACTATGGTAACATGGGAGCAATTCTATTCCATGGCCTTTAATACATTTCATTTTCATAGCACCTTTCATCCCAGGGTTTAAGTGCTGTAACGGAAGCAGGTACTGTGCACCCATTAGCACGGGGGAAACCGAGGCACAGAGTGGTTTAGTGATTCGCCTTGGGCCACTTGGAAAAACCGTGGCAGTGTCTGGACAGCCTTAAACCTCCTGACTCCCTCAGTTGGTGAGACCACACTGCTGCCTCACATGAAGCCACTCCGCTCCCTGCCCTCCCCAGCAACGTGCTCCTACCCATTCTTCGGTGAAGTCTCATGCTCCTTTTTGATGCACAAATACACGACCAAAAAAAAAAAAAAAGAAAAAGAAAAAAAGAAAAAAAAAAAGTGCAGTAAACTAAATGTTTAAAAAAGCACATTTGTGCTGTCTCTGTGCAAAGATAAAAGAAATAAATACATGATTAAAAAATTAAAAAGGTTCACAGTATCACACATGGATAGGTAGCTATGGTAGTGCACATCTGGAAAACACTGTGTTACTACCCAGGATTCTCTACACCCAGCTAGAATTCTCTGCTGGGAGCTGCGGGTGAGCGGGTGGTTTCTTTGCTGCCCACATCTGGGGTAAGTAGAAATACATGGTTATAGTTTTGCTCCATTCTGAAACGCAGTGCCCGGGATCCTGCAGTGCAGCAATACTGGTGTCAGCAAGCTCTTCCCCATCCCACTGGAATGGCTGCATCAACGAAAAGGGAACACATCGACCTGCAGAGGGAATCGCTGCTCTCTGGGACTTCTGTGTCTGCATAGAGATTACTGCAAGAGGCAGAGAGAACAGAGTCACACAATCATGGAATTGTTAAGGTGGGAAAAGACCTCCAAGAATACCAAATTCAGCCATCAGCCCAGCACCACCACCATGTTCACCACTAACCCGTGTCCCCAAGTGCCACAACCACTCATCATTTGAACACTTCCAGGGACAGTGATGCCTAGGCAGCCTGTTCCAATACCTGACAATTCCCTTTCACTCAAGACATTTTACCAAATATCCAACCTAAACCTCCCCTAGCACAGCTTGAGGCCGTTTCCTCCTGTTCTGTCCCTTGTTCCCTGGGAGCAGAACCTGACCCCCACCTGGCTGCACCCTCCTGTCAGGGAGTTGTGGAGAGTGAGGTCTCCCCTGAGCTTCCTTTTCTCCAGGCTGAGACCCTCCTCATCTCACTTGTGTTACAGCCCCTTCCCCATATCCACTCACTTCTCTGGACATGCCCCAGCCCCTCAATGTCTTTCTGGTCATGAGAGGAAAGAGGATCAACCCCTGAGCACCAGTGACCACATCTGTCAGGTCTGTGTCCTGCCAGCTGCCCAGCAAAATCAGAGGATGTTCTACATCCTCCAGAAATGGCAACATGTCTGGGAAACCTGAACTCCCCAAGGCTTTTCCTGCACCAAACAACTGGGAATAAGCCACAGCCCTTGCTGAGCAGGCCAGGGCTCTGCCAGCACAGAGCTGACCTGAGAGGCAGCTGGGCTCTGCTGCAGCCATGCATGAGCCCCACGCTGCCAGAGGCCAAGCTGACCTTGCAGAGGGAGCAAAAACTCCGACCTCAACCCAGCGGGCACCCGGCACACGGCTGTTGGACACTTACTGTATCGCTCTCCTCATCGGAGACAGAGTGGAGCTGAGTGCTATAGTGGAGCGGGGAGTAAACCCAACTCCTCTCGTCTGTCGGCTGCCAGAGTGGCCAGAGACGGCAGGGAGAATGCAGGGAGAGCAGCAGCAGAGCAGGGAGCAAAGGAGAGAAGAGGAAAAAATAAAAGGAGAAAATAAAAAGAGCAGGAAACAATACAGTAAGAACAGCTGTCCACGTGGAGGGAGAGCACTGAGCCCAGAGCCAACTCTCAGCAGAGGAGCCCTCCTCATCCTCAGCACGTACTGGCTCCCTGCCAACTGGGACACGGGACCTGTGCCAGCTGCAGTGGGGGTGGCACACCCTCTCCTCTTGTAGGGACAGAGTTTTAGAGCTTTTGAGATGTCAGGGAAACCTCAGCTCCTGGCCATGGCATCATCCCGGCTCCAGAGAAACTGAGAGATTTGGGAAGTGACTTACCTAAGAGTAGTGGCAGCTCTGTTTTCCTGCTACCTGCTATCAGCTCTCACCCTTCCATTTCCAGAGCCCTGTGCAAGCTACAAACCGATGTCCAGGAGGGCTTTTACAGGGAAACTGGATTTGTTTGTTATGCGTTCCTCCTTCTCTGCAGAAGGCAGCAGAGCTGGGGTGAGACCATGGAGCATGGTGGCCACAGAAAGGAAACAATTATTGCTGAGATCTTGGGGACAGTGGAGTGATGGGAACAAGTACAACACAGAAGGCAAAACACAACTGGACCCTGGAAAGAATGAGGGGAAGGAGGTGTGCCTTGAGGGACAGTTATCATAGCACTGGGCACTGCTGTGACAAGACACACTGCTGCCTACACAGCACAGATTCAAGGGCTGGTCTCTGCTTCCAGTGTTCCTAGTGGGGCCCCATTTACACTGCAAATAGGCTCTTTTGTCTCCAGAGGAGCTCCCACAGATAAGAAACTGCCCCCTTTGACCCAGCCTGGCATTGCAAAGGAAGAGAAGCAGAACTGGGTGTTTGGAAGAAGCCTGAAGTGTTCCCAGCCCAGGAACTGAGCATGACAGTCTACAATGTACAAGGAACTACAAGAAGCCAGAGAAGCTTTGAAGCACTGGGCTCCACATGCTGAAGCCCCCATTAGTAGAGATTGCTGGGAGGAAGGCTCCCCTGTCTGGAGCTTCTCACAGGGCTCTGTCAGAGGTACAGGAAACCTTCCCACCACATCAAACTTGTCCCACATCCTTTTTCATTCATGAAGGTTCATCCATCCTGACTGAATCACATGCTCCAGCCAGTCTCTTTGAGAGCCTTTTAGGAGCTTTGATGCATGCAGGGAGCTGTGGGAGATAAAGGAGCACCCATTGCTTGGTGCCAGAGCAGCCAAACCCAGCTGGGGGCAGGAGGGGCTGCAGGAGGTGTTGCCTGTTTGCCCAGTAGCACCTTCCTCATGCCAATCAGCAACAGCCAGAGGCACAATCCTGCCCCTGCTTCCCCATGCACCCTGCCTGTAACCTAAATGGGAGCACCAGGCTGCACCAGCGAGGCTCTGGCAGCACTGCCACCACACCCTGGGGACAGCAGCTCTCCCAAAGCATGAGAAGGTAAATGCTAAACTCCAGAACAATCTCAGCTCTAGATTCAGCCCCTAAATGCTCAAATGCCTCCCTGCATCTTTTGAAAAGGAAAATCCTCCCTGCTCATAGAAGACCTTCAGTAAGGAGGGAGCACACTGGTGATGCTGAGAAGGGCTGGAGAGCTGAAACCAGCCCTAACTCAGCACCAGCTCCTGCCTCATTTAGTTTATGAGCTGCTCCCCACAAGCCAAGACATCTTAATAGTGCCTTCAAAACATCTTAATAGTGCCTTTAAAACCCTCTTCCTGGGCTGAGGGAGCTGAGCTTGCATCACCTATAGAGGACCCATTGCCTCTCTGGCCAGATCTGGACTAAGAATCACAGAACAGTTTGGGTTGGAAGATCACCTAATATTCCCCCTTGCCACAGGCAGGGACATCTTCCACTATCCCAGGCTGCTTCAAGCCCATCCAATCTGACCTTGGACATTTCCAGAGAGAGGACAACCACAAGTTCTCTGGGTAACCTGTGCCAGGGCCTCACTGCTCTCAGTTTTCACAAGGGCAGGGTGACACTACAGCCCATCCCAGGGTAGGAGCTGTGTCACCAGTCTGCAGAAAAGGGACAGAACTCATTATTCTCTCAGATTCTACAAGGAGATCCACTGGTGTAATTTCAATTTCTGCTGGGCTGGTTCCTAATGCCCTCTCAATCCAGAGCCCCAGCTGTTGAGAGAAATGGGATGCTGGCCCCAGTGTTTCAAAGCTGCAGCTCTGCTCCCCTACGTGTTGTGCTGGAGTGGTCACTTACAATCCCAGAGGAATGCGAGGTAGTTCGGAGTCTGCGCTGGCGGGGAGAATAAATCCAGTACCTCCCATCTGTGAACTGAGTGGCCCCAGGACAAGTGAGGTGAGAAAGGAAACAGAGGAGAAAAAGGGTGATGTGAAAGAGAGGATGAAAGAGAAAGCAAAAAACAAGGGGTTGGGCAACTCCAGGCCTGAACAGTGAGCAGGTGGGAAAGCCGTGCAGGGAAGAGCGACGCCCATGCCCTGCCACAACTCTGCACTTTAATTCCCTGGGGATAAACAGGAGAATGAAGTGCTCTCCAGGAGCAGACTTCCAGTCATCAAATCACAGTCTCCTGAGACTGGCCAAATCCTCCTCTGCACACATACCATCCCTTCACCCACCACTGCCCCTGAGCACTCCTGCAGGAGCAGCTGTGGTGCTACTTGAGCACACACACGCAGCCTCACCTGAGCTCCAGCTCAAGTGGTTTTCCAAGGAGTGCACCCATGGGAACTCAGATCAGCTTTTCCCTTCATCCCAGCAGTGATAAACACTCCACAGCACACGACACACATTTAATGCAAAACTCAGACTCAGATGAAGTATGAAATGCTGATGAGCAGTCAGTCACACTGTGAACACACTCTGCAGAATTTTCTCTTGGACAGAGGTGTCCCTCAAGCTGTGGGCAGTTCATATGCCCAGGGACAGGGAGGAAGAGCAGCTGACCCTCACTAGAAGACACTTGCCAGGGCAGCAGGCAGGATCTGCCTGCACACAGCTGCCATCCACAGGCAAGGAGGGGGCAGTGTTAGAGGAGCCGTTTGCATTTTGAACAGCATGCATCCAACCCCAAACAAGCTGTAAAACAGGGCTGATTCCTTCCACAGCTCCCACAAGCCTCAGAGTGACTTGGCAATGAGTGAGCAGCTCTGCAGCAGGGTCACAAGAGCCCAGCGAAAGGCCAATGCTGCATTTTAGTTTAGAAAGGAGCCCATTGCATGGGCTCAGGTTGTGTCCAGCACCACAGAACCAACAGAAACGAGTCAGAGCAGAGAGGAGCCATGCACCTCTTTTAATGAGGGTTCCAGTGCCCAGGCATGAGAGAGAGCTCAGCTCTCACAGGACAGGCACTCAGCTGTGCTCTGGGAATCCATGGGACAGGTATATGTTGCTAAAAAACTTCTTCTCTGGTCTGCAGAAGTTGCTCAGCCATTGTGGGAGCTGAGTGAGGACCAGCGCCAGGCTTCACGGCACTCTGCTGCCAACCACCAACTTACTCCCTGGCTCTAGACTCCCACTGCATCACCTAATGCAGCCTGCAGGGAAAGGAAAAGCCGGAGTTCACCAGAGCCCGAGGTCACCCTCTGCAACCACCTCTCTCTGGGTCTAGGCCATGTTTGTGTCAGGAGAGCAGCCAAGATCTCTGGCTGAGGAAGGATGAACCTCTCTGTTGCACCCACATCACCTTGGCTTGCCACAGGAGCAAATGTGCTGGCCCAGATAAACACTTGTGCTTGGAAGTAGAGCCACACAGCTACAGCTACATCCACAGCAGGAGTGCCACCTGTGTGAGCCCCACTAGATGCTGTTCTGAGTTCTCCAAGTTTAATCCAGTTCCCTGCATTCAAAAACCCACCCAGCACCATGGTCTCAAGGTGCTCCACACCGAGGTGGTGCAGGGCAGCCGCTGCCCACCCGACTGCGTGGGATGGATACTGACAGCCGTGTCCAACCCTTCCCATCACCCCCCAAGGGTCAGGTGGAGAAGGTCTCTTACAAAGTATATGTCTGTGACTGGCACATCGTCTTCATCCGAGGCCTGGCTGGCTGGCTCCGAGGCCTGGCTGGCCGTCTCCACCTCTACGGTGGCTGTGGATGTGACAATGGCACAGGCTGAAGAAGCTGCCTCTCTGCAGAAGGGAAAGAAATGACAGTCTAGTCACTGAAGTCAGGACAGGAGGAAGCAAAACGGGTTTGTTAGAGGAGCTTCTGAAGATGCTGTGCTATCACATCCTGAAGGGTCACGGCAGGGCAGGGCAGGTCAGTACTGTGCTCAGCACCACCGAAAACCCATAGCTCCAGCAAAGCCTCCAGCACAAGCAGCCATAGCTCAAAACCCACTGTATGGGCTCTGCTCAACACTCTAAACACTCACTCTTTGACTTCTTCTTCAGGAGCTACAATCTCAACGTCACACTTGGGCTCCAGCTCGACACTGATTTGCTGAACCTCCTCCTGGACTCGCACCTCCTCGTGTGACCTGGAAACCAAAGGGGAGACAGGTCCAAAGACTCAGCTGGACATGAGTTACACATAGCCCTCAATTTTAGATTGGCCTGAATCAGTCCAGAGCCAGCCAAGCCTCTTGTGCAGCTCTGCCCCAGCACACAACTGCTGCTGCTGCTATCATGGCACTGGTCTACCAGATCAGACTCAGTGGCTGATTTCAGCTCAGAGGGAGCACTCACACCTCCCAGGACTGAGGATATGGATAACCAAAACTCCCAGGAAAAAGAGTCAGGTCTGGAAGATTGCAGCATTCAGGAATAAAAAAGTGGGAAAAGGTGGGAAAAGAGGACAAGAGAAAAGGAGTTAAACAGCCAGTGCAGCAGGAAAGATGGGCTGTGTCAGATGGAGCACGGGAGCAAAGAACCGGCCTCCAGGGAAAACCTCTTTCCAGAGTTAGCCTGGCACCAGGCCAGAGCCTCTGACCTCTTCGAAGACTCAGCACACCAAAGCTGCTCCAGGGTTGAGATCAGATTTATCTGCACACTCTGGAACTGTTTCTGACAATCTTCACTTTAATACCTCATGCTATTACAGTAATTACTTGTGCTAGCAGGCTGGCTGCACTGCCCAGCTGAGGGGCAGCTCTCAGAGAAGGGCTGAGCTCTGGGTTCACTGACAGCATTGCCCTGCTCCAGGCTGGCTCTGACCAGAGCTGGGGCCAGTGGGCAACACTTCTGTCCAGCTCCATGCATGGAATTTGCTACACTCTTCCTCACAGGGCTGGACTTCAAACCTGGACTGAATTCCCCAGCAGACCAGAATAACCAGAGGCATGACACATTCTTGAGCAAACTGGGTAAGGTTTTTACCATCTCAGCACGGGAATGTAAATTCTTGCTTTAATAAATTCGTGTCTGCCTGGTTTTTACCAGGGGATCCCAGAGAGCTCCACAAGTGCACAGGTCCCTATTCTCCCAGGAAGGGCACATGGAGGCACTGGCATTAGAAAGGGACAAATTAGGCAAAAAACAGCAAAGGTGGGCACACCTGCAGACAGTCAGTGTAGCTCTGGCAAATCTGTGACAGACAAATCTACTCTGACCAAGCCACTGAGCTCCCTGAGTGCTCCCAGGTCACTCTGATTCACCTGACCTATTTCTGGATGAGCAGTCACACACTACAGCAGCTCCCTCCCTCCAGGAGGTACCATTGAGCCTGAACTGTTTTGGATGAAATCACTGCATTTGGCTTATGGGCCCCACCACTGAGGCCTGGGTGCAAGTCTCCAATTTTCAGTAATTTCTAACACTGGATTCTGCAGGATATGAGGTGCTTCATAAGTCCCTGACACTTCTCACAGTGAGCGGGTCCCTGTCCTCCAGGGATAGGAATTTACCAGGATTCAGCAACATGCATCATCCAGAGGTATTTTCATTAGGAAATACCATAGAAAGAGATTTTTTCACAGTGCTTGTCAACTGAACTCAGCAAATCACTCAAAGCTCAGAACAGCAGATGCCTGTAACATGGGGCAAACCCTCATCTTCCAAAGGCCTTTCCTTCCAAGCTCCAAACATTGCAGGGAGAGAGGACATCAGCCTGTCAATCTCCTCTGGCTATGGCACATCCTAGGACTGAGTCTCTGATGTCATTTCAAAGCCTATCACACCTACACAATGTCCTTGAAAGCGAGGGCAGAGCCAGCAGCATCCGCTGGCTCCTCGTGCAGATCCTGGGGTAATTTTTACTGATGCAAAATAATTCCACAATAATGCACAATAATTTAATGGTAAGAGCCTCTAAAATCAGACACCTCTCTGCAGCACAGCATTTCTGTCCTACTTTACCCTTGGCTCTGAGACACCACAGGAGGGGAAAAGCCTCACAGATTTCTGAAAACACTGGAAGCTACTTCTGAGGGGACTGAGGGTGCTCAGTGCCTCACAAAGGCAAAGCCCTTTCCCTTTGCCCAGGCCACAAGCAGATGCTCAGAGGAGGAATGTTCCTGCTGTCAGGGCTCACTTCCTTGCTTAAAGGAACTTAGAAGACCTTCCTTGACTCTAGTGCTGGGTGGGTGGGTAAATTTGGACAACACTGTTGTCCCCTTTCCTATCAAATAATTGGTATTTTCAAAGCACTAAGAGATATGCTTTGCAAGGAAAATTCTGTGTAAGAAGTGGGGATCATCTCATTGCAGAAACAGCTCAGCATCCATGCCAAAATCCTGGAGCTGCTGAAATTCCCACTCAGCCCTCTAAGCGACCCTTGTGCAGGGATAAACATGAGGTCTCTGTGCAGCAGAGAGAATACGAGACAAGAAGACAGGAGACCCATTTCTCACCTGCCATCCTGCCCTGAGGAGTGTGTACGCCTCCTGTGGAAAAAAAACAGAAGAGTTTGGAGGAGCAATTTAAGCCAGAAATCCTGCACTATCCCTATATCTACCTCCACATCCCATGAGGGAGATGCTCTACTTAACAGCTGACACTTCTTCCAGCAATAATTAATCCCATCAAAGCTGTGTCTGCTTGCTCCCAGGAGAGATTTAATTAAAATCGGTCATTAGCATTCAAGAGTGCGGATCTGCAGCACGGAGAGCAACAGCAGCCACTCGACAGCAGTGGGAGCAGGGAAGTCTCCTCACCTGTACCTGGGCTGCTCAGAGGTCTCCGAGGGGGATCGCTCGGGAACAGAGAGAGATGTTGACGATAGTGTTGTGGCTATGGAGGCTGTGGTAGCTTCTTCAAAGGAAGGAGGAGTGCAAGGGAGCAGGTCTGGCCTGCCTGCTGGCCCACAGCAGGGCAGGGGAGAGGCAGGAAGAAGAGATGATTAAGTCAAACACCAACACTTCACCTACACCAGCCTCATGCGAGGCTGTTCCACCATGAACCTGCACACCCACACTGGGACTGGGCACTCAAACCACAGACAGGCAGAAGTTTAGTTGGGTCATGACAGCCTCTCCCAAGGATCTGGAGAGAGCCAGTCAGCACCACTTCCAGCACAACAGGCAGGGAACAGAATGCCAGTGAAGATTTCTCACTGGTGACCAAAGCTGAATTAAAGGCTTGGATCACCAGGGACAAATATCCAAGTGAATTAAGAGATGAACTGAGTGTTCAGTGCTTTGCACAGGGAGCAGTCCAACACCCATGCACTGGAAGAGCTGTAAATGCAGCCAGATGGAAGTGAAGGAAAGGTAGCATAGAACCAGGCTGTTCCTCTGATTTCCAGTGGCAAGATCCTGCCTGTTATAACTGCCCAAACACTGTCATTGGAGTGCTGCAGTTCCCATCACACCCCGCAAAATCGTTTTTTTAAAGGGTAGAAAATGCAACTTTCTGTTGGCTTTGGGCTACGGCTTATGGTGCCCCTTGGCACCAGTAATGTCTTGCAGCAGTGATGCAGGTGACCATTTTTACTGCAGAACCCCACAACGTTGGTCTCCTTTGATGCAGAGCTGTTGCATCAAGTACCTGCTGGTGCTGCGACAAAACAATGCACTCTTACCTTCTTCCCTGTCCTGGTTAGGTTTAGCACCTGCAAAGCACAGCAAGACATGCAATGAAGAGCTATCCATGAGGAAAGATCTGCAGTTGGTGCACAGTGGGGAACTTGATGAGAACAAGGGAGGATCCTAAAGAACTGCTAGGAAAGAGAGGGTAACCACAGAGGCAATGCCCTGAGGGTGGCTGTCACCTTCATCATCGAGCGTGGGGTAGCTCCTGGCCGCCCGCAGGTCGTACTGGGTGTCGTCCTTGTCGGAGGCCAGCTGGCTGGCTGAGAATGCCGCCGTGGGACCCGCCGTCTTCACGGCCAGCAAGGCACTGCGCCCTTTCTTCGAGGGGGACGACTTCAGGGCTGCGGGAGGGAGCCGGGCAGAGAAGGTCAAAGTACCACCACCAGCTACTGGCACACCGAAGGCATCTCTCCCTTCACAAGGAGAGGCTCTGCCCTCACACACATCCCTTCTGGACTGAACCCAGGTCAGCTGCATGGATTGGGTGAGAGCCTGAGCAAACCAAGGCAAGCTGTGACAATCTGAGGGCTCTGCAGTTCTCAGCTTTGCTCCGTATCATGGAATGTTTTGGGTTGGAAGGGACCTTAAAAACCCATCTCATTCCATCCCCTCTATGGGCAGGGACATAGGCACTAGAGCCCATGCAATGAGACAGAGCCCAGCAACTAGACAGGTTGCTGCAAGCCCTGTCCAACCTGGCCTTGGACACTTCCAGGCATGGGGCAGCCACAGCTGCTCTGGGCAACTGTACCAGGGCCTCCCCACCCTCAGATTTCCTAACTTCTAATCTAACCCTGACTGCTCAAAACAATTGCCCCTTGCCTGTCACTATCTGCCTGTATAAAACATCCTTCCCCCTCCTTTTTCTAAGCCCCCTTTAAGCACTGGAAGGGGCTCCAAAGTCTCCTAAGAGCCTTCTCCAGGCTGTACACCCCCAGCTTTCACAACTGTACCACTGCAAAATCCTGCTCAGGCTCCACCCCAGACTCCTTGTGAAGCCTGCAACAGCAAGGCCAAGGTAAAATCTCAGAGCACAGCAACCCCTGAACTTGGTACTTACAGGAATTCTTTCGAAACACTGTGTTGGTCATGAATTTGAAGAATCTCTCTGCATAAAAGCTGGGTCTGTGTACTGACACCGTGTCCTACAACAGCAAGGAGCAATTGTTTAATTTTAAAATGATCCCTCAAGGCAGAATTTCTGTAAGAACCAACAGTCTTTTTTATTCCAACATTTAGCACTGACAGAGCCTTAAAATGGAAAGGCTTAACTGAAACACTCTAATTAATGCTATAAATAACCCTGAAGCATTGCCTCTGATTGCATTTGATTATATTCTTGCTGTGATTTTATAATGGATTTTGGTGATTTTAGTCCTTTGTAGACTTCCTGGATTTTTTTTAAACGCTGGCCTGATTGCATACATGAAATTTCTTCTGGCTTTGCTGGCTGCCATTCCAATCAAACCTGGATACCTTTGCATGTCACACAGATACCCAAATTCAGCCAAGGGTCTCCAAACATTTCAAATGTTCTTGTTTAACATAGTAAAACTGAAGCTCTTTCTGCTTCTGACGTTTGACTGAGCTTCCATGACTTGGCATCTCCACATTTTCTTTGCCACTTTAAGGGAAGCCAGGAAATGCAAGGCTGAAAAATGGTTTCCACATCCAAGGTTGTTCTTTCAGAAACACACACCTGGCTGCTGCAGGAATGAAGCCAGCATGGAAACATGGAAAGGGATTTGCTGGCAGAGAGCTTGCTGAGGTGCAAACAGCCAGTCACCAGAGAGAACAGCACAGGGCTCCTGATGTCATGGGAGACAGGAGCAAGGGAGGAAAGCTGTGAGCACAACAACTCAACATGTGAGGAGCTGGACTGAGCAAGAAAACCTGGCTGGGAATAAATGGCACCACCCTCCTGAGCAGGAATGGGGGGCAAGTACTGCTCCTTGCATCAGCTGCAGCTGTGCCAGGTCAGGCTCCAGAAATAGCCACCAAGTAATCCTGCAAGGCTTGGACAACTCCTGCCTCTGCATAGGCACTCACCCCATCATGGACAAGGGCCTTCCAGGTGTGTTCTAACTTCTTGATGAACCTAATTCCAAGAAGTGGAGAGAGAAATAAAGATAGGGATTCAGGCATGCACTCTGTACCAACCCCCTTTCATACCCTATAGGTGAGATCCCTGAGCTGCCAATGTCACCAGGATGAGCTTTCTCCAGCATCTCCCTCAGGAGGTCAGGACTGCCTGGGAACACCACAGGAAAGGAGGAGCTGGGCTGGAAGAGGTGACCCTTCCACTCCTAGAGATATGCTTCCCACACTGAGGTGGGAAACTACTTCCTTATGAGCAGCTCATCATCCTGGACAAAGGTCTGTGTGTCCCCAGCTGTTCTAAGGACATGATGGAAACCAACAGCCAGCTTGGGGCAGCCATATCTACTCATCCTCACAGTCTCCAGGAGAGAACATGCCCCCTGTTTTCACTTGGTACTAAAAGAGATATTATCAGCTAGAAAAGACAAACTTCGTGGTGGTTTCTCTCCTCACCAAATATCAATTAAATGCAAACCCAACACACACTGCCAGGTTACCTACCTGTATGACTGCAGGATATCTATGATTCCTACGTGCAGCAGGAGACGCTCTCCTTTGCCATTCACTGCTGGGATCCCTCCCATCCTGCAGGTAAAGCAGAACTTCAGCAAGTGCAGCCTCAGCTCAGTAACACCCAAGCTCTGGGGAAGGGCAACAGCAGCTGTGCTAAGGGGTTCTGGTGTGGTGTCAGACACATTCTAAAACCACTTTCTGCACAACCACAGGAGTCACTGACTGACCTGACCTCAGGTGTCCCAGGGTCACTGCCAGCATGGCCAAACACCACTGTCATGACAGAACCTGCATCGTGTGGCACAGCTCTGCCTGGGCCAGAAAACACGCTGGAGTTTCCTCCTGCCTATTTTATTCTGGGGATCAGGTTATTCATCAGATCAGCAAGAGCTGTCTGCCATTAGGGCAGTAAATCCTTGAGGACAAAGATATTCCCAGTCCCATCCACACTAGTGCCATCCTGCCAAAGTGCAGCAGCCATTGGCACCAGCACACAACCAAAGCACAGGAGTGCCAGACACTCCTTCAGGCTGCTGCTGCAATTATTGATGCTGCCTGAAGGACTGGAAACACCTCAGTGTTATCTCAGCTCTCAGGACTGACCCTCCATCAAAGAGCTGCTTGCTGTTTCAGACAGCAGCAAGCAGCAAACTCCACCATTCCCTGGCCCAAGAGCCAGGCAGCATCCCAGGTCAAGCACAGCACAGGCTTGGGGCAACCCCCAGCCTCCAGCTCCAGCAGTGACTCCAGCACTTGGCTACACTGCTGTCTGCTAACCCCACTGGGATGGCCTCAGGGAACTGCCAGGGATTCCAGAGGTAGGAATGATGGAGAACTCCAAGCTCCTAGGGACAGGCTGATCCCTACTTCTGCTCCAGTATTTGGGTGCTGAGCTAGAACTGAGCTAGTGTCTCCTCCCCAGGGAATGGGTGGATGTTTAGAGGCTGTTACACAAGCTGACAATCTACAGCCTGGCCTAAAACAAGAGACTGCTGTGAAGCCAGAGCCTTACAGAACTACTTCCCACCCCGGCTTCCCCCTTTCCCACCACAATGGCAGCACTACCAAAACCCCAGGAGAGCTGCTCCCTTGAACAGTTCTGTTGGCCTCATGAGGGATTTCCACCTGTGCCCCTCCCAGCAGCACGAGCGAGCCCAGGTTTCACCTACGTGTCATCCGTGTCTATGGACTCGCCCCGGGCAGCCCCTCCCTGGATGGACTCCATGGCTGTGGAGTACAGGGCCTTCTGGCCCACGGGGCGCTTCTCATCCGACGTGCTGTGTGCTCCCTCCGACAGCTGCTCCCGCTCGTGCTGGTCTATGTTATGAACCCCAAGCAGGAGGCTGTAGTCCATGATTTTAAAGCTTTCTAATACCTACAGGTTAATATTGAGTTCAAGAACAAAGACAAAATATCAAGCCAGCATCAGAAATACAGTCCCCAAAGCGTGGAATCAAAGCAAAGCATCCCATCCACATCCCCACTATCAACTCATTTGACAGAGCCTGAAAGTTTCTAAACCAACAGTCATCTCTGGGCTTGACTGCACAGAGTTTGGCCATCCCACAATCACAGCAAAGGCCTGAAGGCTTGCAAACAACACCACTGTATCTGCTGCACAGTGATTGGGAAAATGCTCCAGCAAAGCAGCTACAAGGGGAGCAGGCTGCCGAAGTGTGATGCACTAGGCAAAGGAGCACAGCCTCAGTCCTCAGAGGCTGCCATGAGATCCAACTCTACTGCTTGGCTTTCAGGGAAAAGGGCAGGGGAAAGGATTGATCCTGCTCTGGGGTCAGCAGATTAGCAAGGTTCTCAATTGGGAATTGCTCTTCCTCATGCCCAGGAGTTCCCTACCCTGTCCCTGAGCTGCCCCCTCCTTACCAGACAGTCTCGCTGCAACGTCTTCACCAAAGCACTGAAGGTGTCTGCATCCAACATCAGGCCCTCAGGCATGTCTTGGATGAAGTCCAGATCCTTGTATGTAGGGCTGGACTTTTCTTTTTCCTTCTTGGATGCCCGGCGTTTGTAGGTTGAACCTTTGAGGTCGAATTTCAGGTGCATTTTCACCACTCGAGGCAGGATGTTGTTCATCACGACCACGCGGATGTTTTTGCCCCCGGACTGCACACAGTACAGTCCATAAAACTTGGGCAGCAGTGTCCGGGGGTTCTGGTTCAGATTCTGTAGCAAGGGTGGAAAGAAGCATGGAGAAGGGTCATTTGAGCAGAAAATTCCTGCTGTGTTCACCACAAAACATGTCAACAGTTGGACTAGAAACTTAACAGGAGCTCAGTGGATGCTTTTGACAAAGTCCTGCATTTCAGTGGCTTTAGGACCTGAAAATACAGGGACTGAGATGTTCAGCACTCTCTGGGCAAATAACCAAGTCCAGAAATCCCCTGCTTTCCCCAAGTACAGCAGCTAAAAAAAGGAAACCAAACTGAGAGAGAAGTAAACACAGTAAGTGGGAACTTCAAGCTTAAAAATAACAGCTCTCTTTATCTCTCCACCATGTCAGAATCAAGAGCCGTTCTCCAGCCCAGAATAAAACACGGACAGGGTTATTTTTTAAACAAAACAACATAAATGTTTTCCTCCTGTTGCAGAGTCGCTTTATAAAGCAGTCAACCAGAAAGCACGGATATCCTGTTCTGCTGTCATCTCCTTTTTTTAGCCTGAAGAATAATTAGGAATGACATGACAGGCAGGATTTGCTTGTTCAGCTTTGGGCACATTTGGGAAGGAAACAGAACTTCTCTGCATGCTGTGGCAGGAAAGACAGACCTGACAGGTTCTGACAGACAGCAGAAACCTGACTGTATTAAAATTTCATCCCCTCAGCTCACCCAGGCACAGCAGTGAGCCCTCTTGGAGAGTGCCAAAAGTAATAGAGGCAGGTATATGGAAACAGCTTTGAAGTAACTCAGGATGAGTCCACCCTGCTTCCTTTCCCTGACTCCTTTGATATGAGTGGTTTCCCAGGAGCAGCAGGGTGATCAGGGGTAGCACCAAAGAACCCACAGACAGTGGAAAGCTGCAACAGGTCACTCAGAACTCTGCATCAGACAGGTAAGTTCTGTTTAATTCACTGACTGATGATGGCAGGATTAACAGTGCAACTCCATTCCCACTCAAAACTCCACACCTGATTTACTATACACATTAGGCAACAGGCAGTGCTTTCCAAGAAAACTCATCCTGTCCAGGAATCTGCAAAAGCAAGTGATTTACAGAAACCCAGGATGGTCTGGGTTGGAAGGGACTGTAAAGACCATTTGGTTTCACCTGTGTCATGGGCAGGGACACCTTCCACTGTCCCAGGGTGCTCCAAGCCCCAGTCCAAACTGGCCTGGAACACTCCCAGGGATGAAGCAACCACAGCTGCTCTGAGCAACCTGTGCCCCCATCTTCACAGGGGAGAATTTCTTCCTGGCCTGGCTGTCACTAACACACAGACATCCCATAACCTGCCTCTCTTGGTAAATTTTCCCCAGTAAATATTGAGCAAAGAAAGGATTTTCACAGAACCAGTGTAGGATCACATAACCCCAACGCACCAGGCACACAGATGGGGCAGCAGCATTGCTTCTCATCACCTTCTCCCTGGCATCTTCACAACAAACAAATCCCTGGTCGTTGTAACTGAATGTCAAGAATCCTCATCCATAAATCTGGAGCCTCCAGCACAGTTGTGCAGAGAGACCAGCTCCTGGTTTTTACACCAAAACAGCAAGTTTGGGTCCAATTTACTTGACCCAATGCAAGTCTCTGGGTCTCAATATCCTGCCTTGCCAGACTGATATGCAAAGCTGGCTGGTACCTTGGGGGCTGCAGCTTGGAATTGCTGCCAGTGGGAGTCAGGACAATCCTCAAAGTAATGGTCAAACAGCAGGAATGGGAGAGATTCAGGGACAGCAGTGCTTTCCCCACAAAACCAGGGTGGTTGCATTATTGCCTGGAGAAAAGGAGGCTCAGGGGGGACCTTTTGCTCTCCCCAAGTCCCTGACAGGAAGATGCAGCCAGGTGGGGGTCAGGCTCTGCTCTCAAGGAACAAGGGAAAGGATGAGAGGAAATAGCCTCAAGTTGTGCCAGGGGAGGTTTGGGTTGGATATTAGGGGAAATTTCTTCATGAAAAGGGTTGTAAAGGATTAGAACAGGCTGTCCAGGGCAGTGATGGAGTCACCATTCCTGGAAGCATTCAAATAATGTGTGGGTGTGGTATTTGAGGACAAGGTTTAGTGGCGACCATCATGGTGCTGAGTTGAAGGCTGTACCTGATGGTCTTGGTGGTCTTTTCCAACCTTAAGAGTTTTCCTGTTCTATGACTGCAATCACAAACCATCCTCAAATGCAGGCTGGGGCAGATGCACACTTCCAAGTGAAGAGGAATGAACTAGTTCTGGGAAAAGGACACTCAGAAGCATCTGGGAAGCCATTTGGAGGCCATAAATGCCTCCAAACTACAGCACAATTACCTGCCTCATGTTTACCCACAGAGTTTGCAAATAATCAGTAGGATTTGTGCTTCTGGGACTGGCTTAATGACATGCTGTTAACACTGTCCCTGGTGTGGGGGGTAGGCCACAGGACACCCAGGTGGAGGACATGCCCTGCCATGACAGAAAAGCTGCCATGACAAAGCTGAGCTGGTTCGAGGTCCTGGGTGATACACACCATGTAGTATCCAGGAAGGAGCTTCTGCAGGAATTCAGCTTCCTTGTGCATCACAGTTTTGATGATGAATTCATCGTCGCTGGTGACATAGAAGAGGGAGCCGCTGGCCCCAGGGTTGGACAGTTCGATCAGAGGCTCGTTACATAACGAATACTGGCGAGAAAAAGAAAAGAAGGTGATGTTCTATCCCCCAGTTATTGCAGATTTGAGTTCTGTGCCCTCAAGGGCTTTCCCTATCATGTCGTCTCCCTGGGAGATTAAGGGGTAGCAAAGCTTAAGTGAGAACTATTTTCATTATAGGTTTGGTCTCAGCAACCAAACTGATGGACAATTTATAATTAGAGACTAAGATTACAGTTCAGAGCATCCCAAGTGCTCAGTATCCAACAAATCATCTGCTTTCAGGAACATCCAGCCTTCATAATGACATCTTATCTGTTCCCATTGTGCCTGCACGCACGTATCACATTCAGGCTCTTTGAGCACAGCCCAGCACATGCTGACGAGCACAGAGATTCCAGGAGACACCACAGCCTGCTCAGGGAACCACATATCACTGTGCTGGAGGGAACACAACACACAGCCTGTTCTCAGCAGCCTCCCCTGGCCTTGTGCTCCCTTTTTCCCTGCAAAAGTCAGTGCCTGATTCACAGAATCCCAGAATGGTTTGGGCTGGAAATGACCTTAAAGCTCATCTCATTTCATACTTGGGCAGGGACACCTTCCACTAGACTAGGTTGCTCCAAGCTCCATCCAACCTGGCTCTATTTTTACAGCCACACCTCGCTCCATCAGTCCTGCTAAAAACACATGACAAGTCTTATCCCAGGTGTGCAATCGAAAGAGATGAGCCCTCCTCAAGCACAGCAAAGAGTTCTGCACTGGGACCTGAACTGGGAGAGCACATCTGGTCATCAGGACACAAACAGCAGGTCCTCAAATAAGGACTTGCCCAGCAGCAGAGGAAAAAAAGGAGAAAGTAAAGTAGGCAGATGCACTTTTTAGCTCAGTGCCCACCCAGACAGTGCAGGGGTCAGGCAGGTTCAGGGCAGGATCACAGAACTGCCCAGTGAGAGGTGAGATGGGGAGAGGGAGGTGATCAGAACAAGAAATTAAATGCTCATCATTATGTAATGAAAAGGGCTTTCAGCTCTGCACAGATTAACAATCCCAGACTTGATCAAGCTAATCATCTCATGCATAATTAAAAGCATTTGCTGCTGTGGCAGGCAAGAGGCAGTCAGGAGACGCAGAAACAACAAATCAGAGCCATGACCTTTGCAACTGAGGCAAACTCCTTGCCTGTCCTCAGTTCTGAACACTCATCTATCAGGCAGCACTGCCTTGGCTGGCACAGGAGATCACTGTTACCCTCCTACCAGGCACTGGCACAGGTTTGTTTCACTGGCAGGTGTTCAGCTGTGACCACCCCCATCTACAGGTGAAGGCACACAAAAAGGGCTGTTCCAAAAGGGGAGGATGTGCACTCATGGATGTGTTTCCTTCCCCGGTTCACACAGAACAGGATATCACATAAAAGCAAGGGCCCAAATTCAACCACAGTGCACTCAAAGCTCCAACAGCTTGTATTCCAAGGTATTTGAAAACCAGCCTTTCCAGCTCTGAAGAGCTTTTGAAGCACTAGAACAAGCTGTTGTTTATTCTGTCTTTTTAAGATGATTAACATAACTACACTCACATAGCTCTCCAGTGAGTACACAAGAAAAAATTCCCATCTTTGTCCTTAGAGCTGCAGGGGACATTACAGGGTCGCACCCAGCAGAACACAACTCCTTTGGCTTGTAAACACAGTAAGTTATTGTTACCACAAGGACCAGCGAGGCAAGCCCATTGCAGGGCTTACACAGCTCACACTGTGTGCAGGTTGTGGCCTCCCTCCAGTACAGGCTGGCAGCTGCCATTCAGCAAACTCAGACTTGGAATCATGGAATGTTTTGGGATGGAAGCGATCTTGAAGCCCATCTCATTCCACCCCCTCCCTGCCATGGGCATGTACACCTTCCACTACAACAGGGTGCTCCAAGCCCCACCCAACCCAGCCTGGAACACTCCCAGGGATGGAGCAGACACAGCTGCTCTGGGCAACCTGTGCCAGGGCCTGCCCACCCTCATGGTAAAGGTAAATAAAGGAGGACAAGACAGAAAAATCTAAAAATACATCCATACCAAATAATCATCTGGACGAATCCCGAAGAGCTCTCGGAAGTACCGGAACGCCACTGGGGCATAGGTCTTGAACCTGAAGTCGGCGTAGTGGTGAGCCGGGGTGAGGTTACTGCCTTCACTGCACAGAACACACACATGGGCACGGCCTGTTACACTCACCAGGCATGGGCAGTCACACCAAAGCTACTGTGTGCTTCACATGCACTGAGCCTTGCAAAAAAGACATCTTTGGAACAACCACCACCACCTTTCTTCTGTGGTAGGAAAACAGGAAAACAGGTTTCAAACTATCTGCCAAAATCTATTTCCAGAGATTAAAGGAAGTTGCCAAGCAGAATATATTTACACAGAGAACATAACTTTTATGAGCTTTGTTTATTCACAGTTAGAGAGCTCCCAGAAGGAGTTGCTTCCAAAACATGGTATGATTTTGTGGAAGAAATTCTAGATGGACAGCTAGAAAGACAAGCACATAGGAAGGGTAACAAACTGGAGTGCACAGTACTGCATCCTTCACTGTGCTTCCCTGCAGGCCAGTGCACTGCAGATTCCAACACTTCCCACTGTTCTGTTTGTATATCATGGAGCACATTTAAAGCATTCACAACATGCAACTCTGATCTAAAGACAGATGGAAGCTCTCTTGGAAAATCAGTGAGAGGACAAGAAAAGAAGTAATTTGTGTAATTTTTCCCCTTCTCCTTTACCTTGGGAAAAAAATGCTCTCCACCACGTAGAAGTCCTGCATCAGGACATCTCTCTCTGGCTTGGAGCTCAGATTTCCCACAGTATATCCAATCCCCAGCTGGATGGCCCCCTTCAGAGTGGATGAGGTGGTCTGGCAAAAGGAAAAGAGCAGTTGGTGAGCATTTCACAGCAGATAATCACAATAACATCCCCTGCATTACAACACAGTCATGTCTGTGTTTCTGTGGGGTCATCTCAGGCACCACATGCTGCTAATCAAGTTTACTCAGCTGCTGAAGAGATTAATTAGGGCTTCAGATTTGCTATTTGCAGGATTGTGCTGTCCAAGAGTGCTGCATAAAAATCTCAACCAGATTAATAACTACTGGGTCACAACTTCTCTCAGTCTCACCCATACTTGGGTGCCTTCCCCCACTCCCCAGACTCAAACCTTTTTGTAGGTGGTTTCCCCAGAAGCATCCACGCTTCGATGGCCAATCTTCCTTCCTTGGCCCGGCTGTCCTGGCAGTGAGGGGCCCTGCAAGGAGCGCACAGGGACAGTCAGGTGTCTGAATCAAAATGTCCCTCAGACATTTTCAGAGGTTCCAGGCCTTGGGCAGAAGCATTTTAGACCCTGGCAAGCAGCTGGAAACAGCTGTGATTTTGAGTTTGAGCCATGGAATGAGTTACCAACTTTGAAGGTGGAACAAGCGGTCACAGAGGGTTAGATGGTATAGTAAAAGTAGTTACAAATTAGAGGGGAAAATTTTTTTGTATTGTACAGGGGGGTTTTAACACCTGTACAAGGGGGTTTTACTTTGTACAGGGGGGTCAGGAGTTCTAAGATGGAGGAAAGTGGGCCTAATCCTGTTCTTCCTCCTTCTTCTTTCTTGCCTCCATGTTCTTGGTGATGTGGCACTCACAGATTGGTTTAGAGTAGAAAAGCACATTGTAACATAGATAGTAGGTATTGGGGAAAATATGTAAACATATAATATGTAATATATCATATAAAAGATAGCAGCAGCCATGGGTGGGGAGGGAGACGACGGAGACACCGGACAGTGAGGGTGTCAGGAGTGTGTGTGTGTCTCTGCCTGGGCTGCTGACCAAACAGTTTAGATAATGAGCAATAAACTGCCTTGAGACCAAACAACAAGAGGCTGTGGAGTTTTTCTTTGGAAGCAAAGGTTGGAGGAGAGACTTTACCACCACACGAGACCCCTGAATCAATCCCGGGGTTCTCACAGTCAGGGCACAGGCTGAGCTGCCACCAAGCACATACTGAGCAGCACGGCCACATTCCCACACTGTGCTGCACACAGAGATCATGGTACTGCTGGAGAATACCCTGCAGAGTGCCAACAGGTGAAACTGAAGCTCTTTGAATTATACTTCCACCCCTGAAGATGAAGATTAGAATAGCAACGCTCCACCTGACACCCCCCACTGCTTGCTGCAGAGCCCTCAGAAAAGATGTCAAGCTCGGAAAAGATCCAGCTGCCAAGATTCCCCTGGTGCTTGACTACAGTTTCCCATTGATTTAAAATCCCATTGATTTTAAACACTGATGTTTTAAATCAAACAGCCACAGAAACTTATTCTTAAAATCCCATGCCCTCAGGTGTCACACTGACACCTTGGGTTTTGCTGGAGAGATCAGAGCCAGCTGATGGGGACAGCCCAGCCCCACTCACACTGAGATAATCCATTTAAGCAAGATCTCATCTGTTTACAATTCCAGGGCTGAGCCCACACAGGGTGAGCCACAGGAATGTCTCTTCCACAGGTTTTGGAGCTTACAGAAATGCTATAGACTGCCAGCACTTCAGGGTGACAAACCTGCTCCTGTCCCTTTCTCCTCTCCTACTTCAGAGTCTGCCTAGGCCCTTCTTTGCCAACGCAGAAGGTAGCAGGTTGTGGTTGCTCCTTTAACAGCCCAGTGTAACCAGGTGTTGGGAAGTTCCCTGCAGCTCCTTTTGCAGGACTCTATTCCACCACCAGTCAACACTGCACCCACACCCAAGCTCTCTCCTTGGGATCCTGGAGCCCACCAGACAGCTAGAAATGTTGGTGAGAGACCAGCACCATTTTGGGGTTTGCTACATTGCAGAACAGCTTTGGATGTTCCTCTGAACAACATGCAGAGAGACCCAAGGTCACTTCCCAAGTGACACTGTTCTATCCCTGTCCCTCTTGAGTGCTGCACACCCAGCTCCCAACCAACAGCTCCAGCAGACAATGGATAATTTTGCTCAGACTAAGAAGTTCTTTGTACTTTAGCTTTTGATCAAGAGCTTGCAGTTATTTCTGGTCAATCTACTCATATTTCTCATTCTAAGGGGCAGCCTGAGCTCTCCTTCAAAAATCATAATTCCTACCCTATTTTCTTAGCAGGGCCAGCCTTGCTTCTCAGCACTCCTCCCCCAGCAGCTGTGAGCAGCAGCACAACTCAGCCTCTCTTCCTACCAGCCCGTTGGATCTCACTCCACACAGCCCAAGCTGTGCTGTCCTGCCTTGCCAATGGCTCACCATCATCCTCACAGCGTGAGGAGCAGACACAGGCAGGGGAAGGGACTGCCCTCCTAGGAACTGCAGTGACACAAGGCTCTTCCAGTCTCCTGCTGTGCCTGTGGCTGTTTCCAGGGCAAGAAAAAGTAGCCCTATTTGTGTACTCAATGATGCAGCCACAGAAGCTGAGCTTCCTACTACACATATTCCTGTGCAGGTACAAAAGAATCAAGTGTTGCATTCCATGCAATTTTATGGGAAGATTTTGCTGTTCATGGACACAAATGCTCATCATCCCAGGTGAAGAATGGGAGGAGGAATGTAAAAAAATTTAATCAAACAAATTTGAACATTATGACCTAAACCATGGGTGTGGGTTTCAGGGAACAGCTTTCAGGCACAGAGCCTCCCACTAGATTCCCTGCTGCCAACTGTGAAGTTTTGCTCCAGAAGGTAACAGTGACTCAGAACCTGTGACCTGGAATATCTACAAGAGAAGATGAGTCCCTGGAGATGTTCCCCTGTTTTAGGGCTTCACAAATCACAGCCTCCCTAACTCACTCCCAGTGGCTAAGTGTGGGAATCAGAAAAATAGAAACTTCCACAGACATGGAAGGGTTTGATTTGCAGTCTTGGGAGAAGCTTGGATTGATGTAGAAATACAGTACACAGACATTAAGCAGAAAAATCATAAACTTATGTTTCTATAATTGTAAGTAAGAATATACCTTAAGTAAGTGAGAAACTGTATTAATAAGATGATGAAGGGTTTATAAGGTAGGGCTGTGGTTGTAAAGAATAAGCTAAGAGTTTAGAAGTTATAATAGAAGCATATGTGTATACGTACAATAATAACCCATTGGCTAGAAGCAAAGGTGATAGGTCAGAAAAGCAAAATAAATCTTGTGGCAACTGTCTGTTGGTTAGAAAGTTATGTATTGTTATGTAACAAAGAACTTGTGACTGCTTTGTGCTACGGCTGACTGCCTGCTCCTCTAAAATGTGACGGCCTCTGAAACTGATGTTTATCTGAGCAATAAATCATTTTTAGCCTGAAAGTAGTCCTATCCCTTCATTAAAAGCAGTGACAATGATAGGTAAGAGGCCTGGGGATGCCCAATACATGCACTCTCCAGCTGCCACCTCCAGATCCTGGTGTGGGAGAAGTGCCCTCAGTCACCCATGTGGAGAAGTCATGGATCACACAGCCAAAACCAGCCACATGATGGGCACAGTCCCTCCACATCCCTTCTGTGGCTGCAGAGGTGCCAATGAAGGGACCCCAGAGACCTGCCACTAATTTTATTTCTCCCAAATAACAGATACAGATTTTAATAGTAATCTTGTCAGTATTTTGAAATGCAGTTTTGCTCAAAAAAGGCAGGCAGAAGAGTCGCATAGAGCTCTGTGTTCTCATTTCTCAACACAGGATTGTCCAACCCAGCTTTACACATCTCACCTCAGTGATGGCTGTTTTCTTTGGGCCCAGACCTGCAGACAAAAGAGAAGAGCATCAGGAAAAGTAGGGATATCCAGGAAAAACCCCCAACCCAACCACCAAAACTCTCAGAAAACAGCTCAATGTTTGTCTTTTCAAGTACAGCAGCCAGCCTTTAGACCAGCTGGTTTTACTTGGTGTTCAGCTTCACTAGTGCAGGAATCTGATGATACAGGAGTCACCTGAACAATTTCATATTCAGAAGCACAAAAGTGCACATTTTTTCCCAGCCACAGTATTTCCTAGAGGCTTCAGCAGAGAGGTCTTGGGAGTCTCTGCTGCCCCATTAAGCAATGGGTCCACACTATGCTGAAGAGCTGGATCCACACAGAAACCCAGAGAGACACTCCTGAAGCTGTTTTCCAGCCACTCAGAAGGCACTTGACAAACTATATTGATAATTGAATATATTTATAGAATCCTATGTCCAAATATATCACACAAATGAACGCATCATTTATCTTTATTGCTGCCTCAGGAGAAGCCACTGCTGCTCCATTGCAGCCAACAGTGGAAATCAGGGTTTTGTCTCAAGCTTTCAGGTATATAATCAGAGCTGGAAACACAGGCCCCAGACTCTCTGGCATGAGGCCGTCTCCCAGTTCCTAGCCGGAGTTTGTTTTTCTGAGTTTTTCCCAGCCCAAGTTTGCAAGAAGCTCCTTAATTTCAGACAGCGGGGAGCACAGTTCCAGTGTGGAATGTGGGGCTGTGAGATCCAGCCCAGCTGGCTCCCAAGAGTGACCAGGAAGGATCAGGAGGTGCTGGAGAGGAGCTCCTCACACCACTCCAGCAGCCCCCAGCACCTCTGTGTGCACAGACCAGTTCTCACTGGGGAGTCTCCTGCACAGAACCCAAACTCAAGGGACAGCTTTAAGGCCTTATTTCCATGTATGAGTTTCCCTGCTCCTGTCCTTCAGTGTTCCTACAGGCACAGATCCTTATCAATCCATAATCCTCCAGAAAGGGCTTAATTTTGCAAAAGACCATTGAGTGCAGTTTTGAGTTCATCTACACTCAAATTAGGGGGTGATCATCTCTAGGAGGAAGTAGATGTCCTCTGTCTCCTGGCTGGAGAGCAGGAAAAGCCCAAGAGCACCCAACCCAACTCCTGCTGCTGCAGCATCTCCCTGCATTGGTGAAGGAAGAACTTCATGGTTTACCCATGGTACCTGCTCAACTCCCTCAAAGAAAAGCAGTGATGCTGCTTGCTTCAGAAGGGGCCTGAGCAAGAACATGGGCATCAGTACCTGAAGCAGCTCCAAGAGAGCTGGAAAGGGACTTTGGACAAGGGCTTGGAGGAACAGAACACAGGGAATGGCTCCCACTGCCAGAGGGCAGGGTTAGATGGGATATTGAAAAGAAATTCTCCCCCATGAGGATGGTGAGGCCCTGACACAGCGTGCCCAGAGCAGCTGTGGCTGTCCCTGGATCCCTGGCAGTGCCCAAGGCCAGGTTGGATGGGGCTTGGAGCAACCTGGGACAGTGGAAGGTGTCTCTGCCCATGGCAGGGGGTAGAACAAGATGAGCTGTAAGGTCCCTTCCAACTCAAAACATTCCAAGATTCCATGACAATGGGATGACAACACCAGGGAAGTGTGTGACTCAGTTACATTTTGGAAAATATTTCAGATTCTGGAAAGCAAATAAAAAACAAACCCAGCAAAAAACCCTTGGTGATCACAGGGGGGATGAAGCTGCTCTGACTCAGAAGTGCTGCAGGTGTCTCACCACCCTGATCTCCACACACTGGGCAGCTCCTCACGCGAAGCAGGTCTTGTCCCGTGGCATTTGGAGCAGTCTGCAGAGCACCCCCGGGCTGCAGCCCGGCCTGTGGGGCAGAGCCAGGGCAGCATGGCAAGAGTCATTTCTTGTTATTCTCTTTTAAACAGTGCCCAGCTCCTGCCTCAGGAACAGCCACTGAAATGCCACTCCCTGTGCCACACAGGCAGAGAGAAGTGAGCAGAGTGGGACCCCGAAGGGTGCAGAGCAGCTCCCCTCTGTCACACACTCAGGCCGGGCTCCCCCAGGTGAGGGGGTGTCACTGACAGGCAGGTGACACACACCACAAGTGACATGAACCTGTCACTCCTCCAGCTCTCGGACTGCAGCACCACATGGCTCAGGACCACTGTGAGCTCAAACTGTGCTGAAAAATTCATTCTTTAGCCTAAGCCAACACAATTTTGTGATCACTGAATAAAACACCCTGCAATGGCCCAGAGAGCAGGAATATGGCTCTGAGTAAGCATTTGGCTAACGAACTTCCAGGGCACAAGCTGAAGCAGCACTTCCACACCACAGGAGAATCCAAAGGAGCTAATGCTGCTCCAGCTTGAGCACTGGAAATTGCTGGGAACGCAGCACAGCTGAGAGCCCTGGGCCAGGGGAATGTGCTGTCCCTGCACGGCTGCCACTGCTCTCCTGCTGCACTAATCTCGTTTCTGCACTTTGTCACAATTCCAGAGCAGGAGATTATCTTTAATTTTGTGATAATTACCACAAGTCACTTTCATTCCCAGCTTTTAAGTGTCAGCTGCTGTACACGTACCAAATGTGGAATCAACACCAACCGTCCACACAAAGGAAAGGTATTGAGGTATTGGAGGCAAGAAAGCACAGATCTCTGGGAGAAATGATGCCTGATGTGGCGAGAGCAGCCCCAGAAAAACTTCCCTCTGACCCCACCACTAACAAAAGGCTTTTTGTCTAGTCAGAAAATGTAGAAATCTTCCACTGACTCCTCTGTGCATGGCACATGGCTGTGCTCGGCTCAAACAAGCTGACAGATGGTCTGGCAAAATCTGATTTAACTGCAGCTCCAGGGGTTATTGAGCCACGAGGCAGTGCTGGGGTTTGCGGGAGCACTGCTGTGGGAAGTTCCAACACTTAACAAGCTAATTGAAATGATTCTTATCCGATTTGGTGTGGCTTACCAGGCCATGCTCAGAAATGTGATGAGAGGCTCTTGAAGGGGGAACCCTGAGATGAAACCCCAACTTTCTGCCCTGCCTCCAGTCTGTGCCTGGGCTCTGCCAGGCACTTCATGCATGCTTGACCTGCTGCCTTCAGTTCTGTTCCCATCTGTGCAGGTCTTTGAGGGACCCTGTCCCAATGCTTGAGCTTCCATGGAGCTTCTGAAATAAACACTTCAGTTGTGGCATTCAGCAATTCCCATCTCAGACTTGTGTTTTTGCCATATTCACAGTCACATTGGACATCGCCAGCACTAAGCTGACACCCTGCAGGACAGGTAAGGATTTCCTCCTGGAAAGCCTCTGCACAGAAAAGGGCTCAAGTTTCAGCTCTGTCAGCCAGAGGAGCAAAACCTCCACAAGGTAAGGGTGGGAAGGGCCTGGCACAGGTTGCTCAGAGAAGCTGTGGCTGCCCCTGAATCCCTGGAAATATTCCAGGCCAGGTTGGATGAGGCTCAGAGCAACCTGGGATATTGGAAGGTGTCCCCTCCACTCCCCCCAGACCAGCTGAGGCAGGCTGATTTGCCAAACCTTTCATCATCACAACAGGCATTAGAGGGTTCTATCCACCGGAAAGGAATTTCTTAAAAGGTTTACAAAAATCCAGCAGAAGCCTGATTTAAGACAACAGAATCCTAGAATATCCTGAGTGGGAAGGGACCCTCAGGGATCATCAGTGCAGCCCCTGTCCCTGCCCAGACCCCCCAACAACCCCACCCTGAGCAGCCCTGAGAGCGCTGTCCAAACGCTCCTGCAGCTCTGGCAGTGGGACCATTCCCTGGGGAGCCTGGGCAGTGCCCACATGACCTAATAACAAGTTTTCTTTATAAGACAGGTCAATACACAGGCATATATTTATAAATTGTAAGTATTTGATGCTTTATGATGTCCTAGAGAAGTCAAAACAAATCTGAATAACCAGTGGACTCCTTTCTCTGATCAGAACTGCTGCTGCGTCTTTACTAAAAGCTTCACTTTATTTAAGGGTTTATAAGGACATACAATGTGACTGGAACTAAAAATGCGTGAAAATATAAATGCTACATAAGCTCCTTGGCTGGAGGCTGCAACAGCATGACTCTCCCAGAAATGCAGCACACCAGAGACATTCAGTTTGCCATTTGCACCCAGCCTGGTCTGGTGGAAGGTGTCACAAAGCAGCATGCCTATCTTCTTTTTCACTTTCTCCATTGAGAAAAGACAATGTGACATACATGAGCAGCCCATTTGGACAACAAGGGGATGTGGAGTCTGTAACCAGGACATGATTCCCTGCTCCATCAGACCCCCAAGAGAGACTTGCTCGGTCAATGCCTTACAGGCAAAGGCAAAAACAAGAATGCCAAGACAGGAGCTGTGGAAGTTAAAGCCCCTCACAAGTATTTCTATTGAAATACAGGCAGAAAGGATGGAAATTAAACACACCCATCAAAAGAGATGGCTGCTACTACCTGTAAGAGATTGCTTGTAAAAACAAATTAAAATTAAGGGAGAGTGGGGGAAGGTGATTCAGCAAATAATGGAATGGTGTGTGTTGGAAGGGACCTTAAAGTTCATCTCATTCCACCCCTTGCCATAGGCAAGGACACCTTCCACTAAGACCAGGATGCTCTGAGCCCCCTCCTTGGACACTCCCAGGGACACTCAAGGGACACACCTCCCTTGGACACTTCCAGGGAGTCACACCTGCTCAGGGCACTCTGTGCCAGGGCCTCAGCACCTCAGAGGGAAGAATTTATTTTCAATATCCCATCTAACCCTGTCCTCTGACAGGGCATATCCCCTTGTTCTGTCCCTCCAGGCCCTTGTCCAGAGTCCCTCTCCAGCTCTCTTGTAAGCCAGAAAACATTCCTGAGCTGGGAAGCAGCCCCTGAGCCAGAGCAGCAGCCAGCTGGACTTCCCAAGTAGCCAGCAGAACCATCAGGCTGTGTCTCAAGGCACAGGCAAAAGCAATCCCTGAATTTCTTCTCACATGCCACACGTGTGGCTCCAGCTCTCAGGGCAGTCCTGGGAGCGAGGGG